CCCCAAAACCCCAAAACCCCAAAACCCCATGCTGCAAATTTATATAAATAAAATATGATTAGCTAAAGATAAAATAATTAATTAGTTCGTTATAAAAATTAAAATTCTTACAAAATGTCCGATTCAGGTAAGGACCTTAATATATAATAAAATGTGGTAATAACTTCAATAGAAGACGATAGATCAGGTTCAGGATCCAATAAAGATAGTGATGAGGAAGAGGAAAACTAATCTAGTTAAGAAGGTAGTGGAAGCGGCTCTGATGAAGAAGGAAGTAATGAAGATGGCTCAGAGGACGAGGAGAAATCAGGAAATTCAGATGAAGAAGAGGAAAAAGATGATGAGGAATAAAAGGTTTAAGATACCAAAACTTCTAACAAAGATGATAAATCAAAGCAACATGTTATTGATGATGATGAAGAGTTTAAAGTGACACTTAAAGATCAGGCATTTGACTTTAGAAAACGTAATATATCTAGAAAAATGTTTTAAATACTCTATAGGTTAGAATATATTTGATATTTTAAATGAGATCAACAACGATTTAGACCAATTAACAGTTTAGGTTGACAGTATATGCCAGAAATACGTTCCAAGTTTAAGATAGAGTACACTTAAAAAGCAGCCAAGTATGAATTACTACAAGTCATAGTCACTTATTGACAACAGAGATGATTTCATGAAAAATAAGTAGCGTGAAACTGATACCTTTGGAAGATAATAGAGTCATTAGAACTTTCTAAAGCAAGAAATAGGCACACAAGCTGCACTATAGAAAAACGAGGAGATATAGACATCAGCAATGATTTAGAATACAGATCTATCACGAAGGTCAAGTAAAATATCTCAAAGCTCTAAGCAGAATAACAGACCTAGTTCAGCAAAGCACAACTTCAAATATGATAATCCTGCTTACTAAAACTAACAACAACAATAATATGAATAACTACCTCTGCTTATCTAGCATTCAAATTAATAGCAATATCAAACCACATAGCAAGTATAGATGCAAAAAAACTTGCCTCCTCCTAATCGATTCACTAATAATCCTTCAACTGGAATTAAATATCCTACCTATAATTAGATATACGGAAATTAATAACCACCAATGACTAGTTATACCTAATTCTATAGGAATCAATCTGCACTTCAATAGCCAGTCAATTATTAGCAGTTTTATTAATAGTAATAGCACCTTTAATAGAATCAATATATAATGAATTAATCGCAGCCAATATAAAATCACCTTCCTATTATTTAATCTGGAATGAATACCTAAAGACCACTTTAAAATTAGAAAAGTGTTACTTCAGTTCAAGGTGCTATAAATACACTCTTAAAATGAAATTAACAAATATTTCTAAATATCTTATTTATTATTTTATACTAGCTCTGAGGGGTTTTGGTATTCATTCCAGATTAAATA